TGGGTTTAATCTCTGCTACACTTGTTCATTATAACCTCTTAGTGCAGCGGTTCTCAACCTGTGGGTCGCGACCTCTTTAGCGGTCAAACGACCCTTTCACAGGGGTCGCCTAAGACCATCCTGCGTATCAGATATTTACATTACGATTCATAACAGTAGCAACATTACAGTTATGAAGCAGCAACGAAAATAATTTTATGGTTGGGTCACAACATAAGGAACTGTATTTAAAGGGCCAGAAGGTTGAGAACCACTGTCTTAGTGTGTTGTATGTGTTCATCATCCTAAGAGAGTAGAGAGTTGAAAACTGCAGACAGAGTTAACAAAATACTCAACTCTCACTTACTTGGGTTAACCAATGAGAGAGTCTTATCATTAGAAAAGCCCTGTGTCTATAACAGTGTGATTCTACATATGGTATGGTTTATGGCTGAAAAGTCTAATTTTTTAGAAAACAGGCATAATGTACATATAGGGGTTACAACTTTAAAGGCTGTAAGGCAAGATTACGTCTCGGATCTCTTAAAGTAAGCAGATATTCTGATTTTTTACTTGTCTTAAGAGGGTCGATCTAAAGACAGAAAACAAGGCTTCAGGAGGTGCACTGTGCTTTAGAGAGGGGCACACCAGGCCTCTCTCTGTCCCTGCAAGGCTTTTGCAACTACAATCTGAGCAGCGTGGATGCCTCTAAGGGCATTCCCACCGGGGAAAGATAAGCTGACTTTAGCCATAGGAGGCAGACCGAGAGCTGAGCCGGGAGGGGCAATGCCTGGACATTTTGAAAGGTGGGACTCCATCTGCGAGTAACCATCCTCTGTGCTGGAAAGGCAATTTGTTATATTTGATCTTGTTAAAAGTTTCGCTTTTATGAACGATTAGTGCAAGGAGTCTAGGGAAAGGTCTTTCTTCAAACTTGGAATAAAGTGTTGGCAGGAAAAGAAATAGAGGCCTTAGCAAAGGTGGGCCCGGCCAAATTGAAGTAGATCTGAAATTGATTGTTCAACAGCTGGTCAATAGTCTGGAAAGCC